AGGATGATAGATCAACTCATTGCGAGCCATTCGATCTTATCAGCAAGCCACGTGGTTCTGAGATACTGTGCTCCATGCAACTTTCTGCAAGCCATTAAATAAATGTTACTCTTTATATTATATTCGTTGGGTCTTTCGGTAAAGCCACGTAGATGGAAAAAATAATAACAAATATCACGATGTTTCAATCGCAACACAAGCAATCGTCATCAGATGTTGCAATCGAAACGTCATGCTACTTTTATTATTTTTTTTTATCTATGTGGCGTTACCGAAATACCCAAAGAATATGATTTCCTGCAGTCACGGAAGCTTTATGTCACTCTTTATATTGTTAAGTAATGGATGATAAGTTAGCTTATTAAATACTTTGATATAAAAGTTGTTTTGGTCAAATCCCAGCACAGAGAACCAAAAATAGTATATTTAAATGAAATTGCATCAAGGTTAAACTGAAATATGGATCATGTATGACCTTTTTTAATCAATAAATGTGCATACAATCAATAACCTAATACGACTTATGAATATTGCATGCGGTCGCTTAAAATAAGAACAACTCATTTTGTAACATTTAAATAATGGCTCGCAGACAAATCCGTACACTGTGCACGCTTTTTGGAGGTTGGCTGGGTGACTCGTGGATCAGGACACCGAGCTGGTACCACTGACAGCCGAACTTCAAATAAAAGCCAGGTTCTCAAGTACAGACGGTCTCTCATCCGAGCCACCAATCACTGCAAAAATGTGATCGTACTGAATTTGGCTTTTTACTAAATCCGCCAACGTTTTAGCTCTGAGAAATAAAATATATTGGTCTGACTGCTATGTGGCAATCGTTTCTCTGTACGCAGGGAGGGGGTGGTGGGGGGGCTACAGTGCAGGACCGCCGAGTCTGGATAACAGGCCACTTGAAGGGTCGCTCAGAAGCAATTCTGTAATTCCTCCTTGCATGGGCCATTCTCGAACACGCGTTGGTTGATGCACCGCTCTGCCAGGGTTACAAATGGCTACTTTGTCTCGTGACACGAAGCCACGAGAGCAATTGGAATAGAATTGGCGGCGGGGGAGGGACGGAGGGAGGGGGGAGGAAGGACACGAAGAATTATTTTACACACGCACACAAAATGCGCTTTACGTGGTTTTGTCCCCCATGTGAGCTTGCTTGAGCGAGTCAGCGGCGCGGGGAATTTCGCCGGTGACGGCTACGGGGCGAGACGGGCCAGCCGGCGGCTGCCCGTTGATTGCTTGCAATCTACATAAATCCCCCTGTTGTTTTCCCCGCCGCCGCATGGGCAGCGTCCCGTGAAATGGCACGGCGGAGCGCGTCTGCTTCGCCAGATGCTGATATCTGGCGCGCCGGGCCAGGGAGCGAGAAATGAGGCCCCGCGGGCCGCATGCTGATTTTTTTTTTTACCCCCTGCAATTTTAACTCCTCGTAGATTGTGGTGGCTGCTGCTGCTGCTTGCTTGCTGCTGCTGCTGTTTGCTGCTGTGCGTTGTGCCACTTAACGTGGGTGGTGTGCGCGTGTAAAGGGTGTTATTGGGAGCAGTTGTGTGGCGGTTGGCGCCCTGCACTCAGAATCCCCGGCGACACGATTTAGACTCCCGCTCACGGCCAACCATCGGTGACGAATATCTGAACCCGTCCTGGGCCCACCCCTATGTCGACTCGGCCTCAAATGAGTACCTGTCGCGGCGTGTAGACGGCGGTACTGGGGAGACAAAGGCGGCCGGGCATGGTGCTGGTCACCCACCCCCTAGTGTGTCGTGTCGGCCTTCATAAGTGCTTTTCGCAAACAGCACTTGCCCCAACAATCTGTTTAAGGCTACACGGGAGATCTTTGGAAATTGTGCAGGTGAACTCCAGGGTGATTTGTACAGGATGGAGAATTCCTATTTACAATTGTCAAGGACTTTGCATTCTTCTTACAGACTTTGTTCCAGTGGAGCACGCTCCGTGTAAGGAATCTTTGCAATTTCCCATTAGCCTTGCCAACACCTTTTTGAGGTCCCCAAAGAGACTGCTGTGTAATGAATTGTAAATCAATGCGTGTTAAGTTTTGACACGATTTTGATGGTTTGACACTCTTGTTGAATAGCGGCTTTGTAGGAAGAAGAAAAAATTGTTCGGGGAGCAAGTACTCTCTCAAAAGTGTTCGCTCAGATGGGTACCCTTCTGTGACTTGGTGCGCTTGCGTGTTTATGTGTAAATCTCAGGACTATTTATATCCAATGGCCACAACACCTGCAAAGGGTCTAATTAAATGGCCTACGAGAGAATTTGTGACAGCTGCCTGATATATTTAACCTTGACATTTTATCCGCTTCGCCTGACCCTGGAGCTCATTAGGCGCACAGGTGCGCAATCGGATGCCATGACATTGTTTGGGCTACCCAATAGCACTTTGCACAAAAACACTGCATACCCCGCATTCTGACGGAGCACAGTTCGGAGGGCTGTGACACACACGTTTGCATCACGTTCGTGTATTTCATCGTTCAGAAATGTGTTGCCATACGCACCTTCGCGCTCAAACATTTGGAGTCAACGTGAACAGATTTAATAAGCCGCTGCTCTACCTTATCTCTGATCATTTGAAACACTTATTTGGCAAACGCATACGCATAGGTTTTTGCATGCTGGAATGTCAATAGTTTTAGGGTTTTGTGATATTGAGAATGGTCATACCTGAGTTTGCAGGGTTTGATTTAAGAATTAAAGATGGGGCGAATGGGTGGCACAGTGGTCGGCGTGCTGTGCTATTTCAGTTTCAGTTCATTTATTAGGTATAACCCTGTGAGCCATGCGTCTCTTGAATCGGGTGCAACCGCAACAAACAAAAACATGAACAAGAAACATTTTAAAGTGACTACGCGCAACAGAAAAATCCAGGAAAAAACAGCAAAGTCTTCCAGAAAAAGCACCGTATATCAACGCTGTGTGCAAAAAAAAACAAACAATAACAACCATAAGACAATTGAGATTAAAGTTACCAGTCTAACTCTATGAACCCGCAAACCCGGGTTTGCTTCTCGGTTCATGGCTAATATTTAGTGCAGAAGGATATCTGAACTGTTCCTGGGCTCTTCCCTCCCTACACCGACCCTCATTGACCAGCGTGGTGAAGTGTTGTCAAAACGCCCCCATGGCCGACATGGTGTGGGGAGGCCCTCTCATAACATTGGTGAACTGAGTGTCTGGAATTATTACTGGAAGGAAAAATAACTGCAGCTTTGTGCAAGAGGGAGGTAGTCAATCAGTCGCAAGGTGTGCACACAATCAGATATGTTTAAAGTGCATAACAATAGTTTGAATGTTAAAAAGATTCTGCCCGAAAGCACGGTCATATCTAAATGACTGCTTTAAATTAACACGTTTATTATTGTGGGGAGACGTGGGAAAACCGTGATGATGATGATTATTATCATGGATGTCAAGGGTCAGGGCGCAATGGGAAACTTGAGAAAAATAAGTAACGGTAATGTTCCCCTGCGTGGTTTATTTAATTTAGCAATACCGTGTACACGTTTGTCTGCATGATTCATACAGCACGAATGGGTTTACTACTTGACTGACTGTAAAAACATTTCAATTATTCTGCCGGGGAAAAAAAATTGCCAGTAATAGCCACATTGCATCTTGTTAATTGCCAAGCACCCAATTTTAATTTCAAAACGTATCGCTAATAGCAAGCGGATTGGAAACGTGAGCGTTTGTGAGTTTTTGCCGAGACTTGCTCTGCTGCCGACGAATATGTTCATTTGAAGCCCTGCGTGGCAGTCCTCCATGTGCAGTGGCGGGCATCGTGCCTCCGGACTTAATTATCGGTAGCGTACAATTCAGAAGAAGAAGAAAAAAACGGGCCGTGGGGTTTGTCCCACTAAATTAGCGGACCCCCCCCCCCCTCCCGAAAAAAACATCCCGCATATTTTGTATATTAACCTCACGCTGCGCAGCTAATAACACATTTTTACAGAACATCGCCGAACCTGAAAGTGCTATCAAAAAATGTATTATAAAAACCACTGCTAGCAGCAGCAAACATTAAATGAACGTGCAATTACCTGTACCAAACATGAACACGTACGCAAGCTGAAAATGTCACTCGAAATACCATATGACCTTAACACACACGTCACGCCACACACACACACGCGCGCGCCTCTTGTTTTCTGTATTTCAAGACTAATGGCAGTAATGTCTTAATCTGATGCCTCATTTATGGCTGCATGGTCTGTGAGTTGCAACTCGTGGCTGGCTGGCTGGCCTGCTCGCTCGCTTGTTCGCTCAGTGTGTGCCTGTAATAATGACCGCGTGTGACACTGATGTCTCTTATTAATACCCACGAGACGAGCAACGTGACCACGGAGAGCAAACCGGCCTCTTTTTTTTCCGCTGCGTGTTTGCTCCTCGCTGCAAGCGGCTCCAGCGAACGTGTCCCAGCGACAGATGGGCGAAACCGCTTCCAATTAAAGCGATAAATCACAGCACCGCCCAGAATGCCGTACGCGGGGCGGCTGCGGCGGCGGTGTACAATGGGCCCCGGCGTACTCGAGTGTGCGGCGGCGCTCGATGTGATTTGACTAATTGCCGAGAGGAGTTATATTCACGATGATGTCTTCTCGGCGCGCTCCATCGTGTGCGCGCGCGTGTGTCCATACGCGCACGTTCACCCCCGTGTGTCTGTACGCGCACGCTCACCCCCGTGTGTCCGTACGCGCACGTGTGTCTGTACGCGCACGCTCACCCCCGTGTGTCTGTACGCGCACGTTCACCCCCGTGTGTCTGTACGCGCACGTGTGTCTGTACGCGCACGCTCACCCCCATTTGTTTTCTCTCCATGCCAAATTTAGTGATCAGTGGACTGCACGCAGTTCGCTGTTATTATTATTATCATCTTCGCGGATACTGGGGTTCTGGCAAACTGCTGTCGAGGGATTATAAACCATCTGTTAGGCCATTATTTATATGCGGCAGATTGGTACTTACTGAATGTGTTTATGCATCGCTGTATAATGCGGTTGATTGCGGCTCATCTTGGCCAGTGGGATATCTCGCCCGGCAGCGGTGGCGGGGGCTGGTGATGAAGCGTTCGCTCTTCGCAGGGAGGAAGAGCTCCACGACTGAATCGCTCCTCTCTCTGTCTCTCTGTGAAATGTGGCCAAGACACAATGTCTCCAAGCAGGCTTTGTCCGCAATCGGGCAAGCTCCACTCCCTGCGCTATTTATGAAAATTAAAAATTAACACGTTCTTCAATCTAATGCTGCCCTAAAGAGGAACAAAACAAATATATAATCGGTGACGTTCAGAGCAATGGCTCTTCTTATTATTTATTTCTTTATTAGAAGGGCCATTACGCGAAACGTAGCCTATTATATATTTTTTTCTCCCGTTTAGGGCAATCTTTTTGACAAATGTGAACATTTTGCTATTTGTACCATTACAGGACGGTCCGTGAAATAGAGCCCGACAGCTCATTGTGGTCTTGCTGCCGAAATAAATACAATCTAAAACGGCATCTATTTGAAAATAGATTCGTGCTTGTGCACCGCTGCCAATATCACACGTACTTCTATTTTTTTTGTTTCATTATGAAAATCTAGGCTGCGAACGTGGGTCTGAAAAAGCCACCCCCCCCCCCACCGGCGCCTGACATGAAACCCAGCAGCAAGGTGTACACCTCATTAAAATGACCTTAACCCCATCCTTTCAAAAGACTCAGTTTGCTCTCAAACGTTCTCCCCTCCCCACCCACCCACCCAACCCGTAACCGCTGCTCACCTGGAAATTTACAGCATGTGCCCTTCTTAATCTCTCCGTATTTCTTTGATGATGGGGGCGGGGGGGGGGAGGTCACGCAGGTTTATTATTCATCTCTCGCCCAGAAGTCCGCTTGCCGTCCGTACCTGCGCAGACATGAAACACGAGTCGCAGCCACAAACATGTTAATGATGCTCGGCTCGCTACGAGCAGCGCACGAGATGCAAATAAAAGACCATGTATCACTTGGTGGTCCCGCGCCAAAATAACACGATATTTCACCGTAAATTATCTTGCCCATGATGGAGGCTCGATGGGGTGTGGGGGGGTGGGATGCAAAAGTAATAGCTTTTTCATTAAAAGGGCACGCACACTGCAAACGCCAAAGCAAATCACTCGGGGCAAACCAGCTGGGTAAAATCATTAGCGAGCGAGCGACCGCGCTTACAATAATAGCGAAGCGCCGCAGTAGCGAACGTCGTGTGGACGTCGTGCGAACGTCGGAGCCAGCTGCTCTTCCCCGAGTATTCATCAAAGCGGGGACGGACAACTTTAAATACAAGACGGCACACGTCTGTCGGGTTTTTCTTAAGTTGCGAGCGGTTTCGCCGACTGTACTAATTGTTTTGCGCGTAATGAATTGTTTGACGTTTTACCTAATCGTCTTAGTTTGCTCCTCCTTGTAAATATTTGTGCAACGATTATTTCTTTATTTTCCACATTCCACTCACCCACCAACTCTCACCCCCTCTCTCCTCACAACAAATACAATTTACTGTCTGTTTACGAAATTATTATTTGTATTTATTCGCGTTCGCGTAAACACGCCATTTGATGTTACACTACAGTTTCCAGGAGTGTTGACAAATTAACACTTTCGTCGAGCCCTCGGGATTATATACAACAACACAAGCATTACAAAAAAAGATGAGGCAAGAATGGCCTCCAAATTAAATCGTGGAGAGAGCTTTCATGAGATAAGTTTAATTGGTTGCAGTCATCTGCAGAGACAATTTCGACGAACGGCACGGCACGGCACGCTTGCTGCTTGCTGCTACCACGCTAAGTGCTGCTGCTTCTGCTTTAAGAGGACCGGTGCTCAGCCAAGCCGGCTCATTGGCTGATGGCTACCGTGCAGTCATAGCCCCACGTGGAGTGGCAGCCTCTGACTGGTCAGTGGCTGTACGTTATTTAAATGAGACGTTGCCTTATACAGACCAGAGCTTTGGTGGGGGGGGGGGTTTTCTCTCTTCATTCAGGAGGGCGCTGAGGCTAGGAATTGTAACAAATGCATGAACAACTAGCAAATGACTTATTACACTGATGTCCCTTTAAACGTTTTGCCAATTGTCCAACTGAGCTAGTCTGCAGAATCGAGAGGTGTGCCACCCCCCACCACCGCGACAGATAATGGAAGCCTGTAACGGATTGCGATACTAGTATATTATTTTGGCTCATGGATTTAGATAATCTGACGAGATTTGCGAATGTGAGCAAATGATTGCTAGCCGAGGTCCAGATTGCATATGAGATAATTATCGCTTAAGGTCGTCGTGTCCTGAGGCTAACCGTTCCGAGTCACTGGCAGGCAAGCTGTAACCTTCATAGATGGAAACAAGGCTGTATGTTATTAACACTTAATAGCAACTGTGAATTATTAACAATGAAAATTCACAACGACGTAAAGCTATTTTGTCAAAACCGCTGCTGGATCGAGGTCGCCGCACGCTGCGTGTAATGAGGTTTGTGTTTGACCATACTTCACCATACTGGTCCGTTACGGGTGCAAGTGAATGGGAGGCCAGGCATCGTTCCGATTTCACGCGTCACGAATGTTAACCATGGCTAGGAATCAAGCCTCGGTCGCCAGGTTCATGGTGCAGTGTACTAACCAGAAGTAATAGTCATAATAATGCTACAATATTTTATTTGGCACAACTACACAATTACCCCACGGCCCATTTTTGCCAAAAATATTGCATTACATTTCACTTTTGAGTTTGTGATTTTATATTTTAAGCAATACTCATTCAATCGTTGATGCCTCCATGACGATAATGTACTATAGCTTTTGTTTGTTCCAAAAAAAGTTATGAATGTAGCTGCGTGTATATAGCTTGCATTCCGTAAAGTTAATTTCCACTGTTGCAGAATACTTCACACTTAATAAAAACAAATATATTCGCTGTACAGTACTTATTTTTCACCACCGTATGTGGAATATAGTTTTGGGTGGTACCGCCAAACTTAGAAAGGGTACGGCGAATGTTTATATTTGCTCTCAAAGTTGTAAAAGTACTCTTTAAATACATTACCGGAATTACTCAAATAAATCATCCGTCGTTAACTGGAACGTGCCAATATGTACCTCCGTTGCCGGTTCATTTTTAGCAACAGCTTTTTAAAAGGGAAGTTGAAACATGATTTTTTTTAAGTGGATGAGGAGGAAAAAAAGCATGTCCTTTATTAACGAATACACGCCCAAGTGATCGCCATATACTGTATTCAAATCTGTGTAAACAATCCTCAGGTTGCAAGTCCTGGAGTACGGGAGGTTAAAGAGGTGAGCGTGAGAGGATGGAGAAATGGCCTCTTCCACGCTTGACACTGCTGAGGGGCTCTTGGCACCACTTGGTTGTCGATGAACCACAAAAGCCTTCGCCGTTCTTCGTCACCCCCCCCCCCCCCCCCCACGTGTTCGCCAAAGAGAAGCTTGCATGCAAAATAGATTACGGCGGGAGCGCTTCGCAATCTCAGCAATTGGCGCTGCACCGCATCGCTCCGCCAACTCCCAGCGGACGGCTCGGAAAAGACAGCACTCTGCCAAAAAACGACGTTAAAGATGTGTGAAATGTGCCTCTTTTTTTTCTCTTCTTTCGAGTGGGATATATTTTTTTTTCTCCCCATTACAAAAAAAATATATACGGAGGTGTATAACGTGTGCGCGTGAGAGAATATCACAATAGGATGGTGGCTGCTTGACGCTCACCGGTGACGATGTTTTTTTTCTTTCTTTCAGTAAGCCATGAAATGGATGCATGAATGTAAACCTCCAAGTCGTATGATCTCGTCGCCATGGAATGTGGGGCGAGTGAGTGCGGCCGGTTTGAGCATCTGCACGTGACCCGACTGCCTTCATCCCCCCCCACACCGAGACTCTCGTGAAGTGTTGACACGCTGCAAGATGTTAAAATATTTACACTAACCATCTTCGGCAGTCCGAGAGTAAGCCCGCTGCATTTCACCGACTTGTCAGAGGGCTCGCGCTAAGTGCGGCGTGTGTAATGTTCACACTTCTATCCGACAAAATGTGCACAAAGGGCCCCTTTATCCTCTCCCCTACGGCGATATAGAATCGGTTGTTGATAGGCAGAAGGGGACGATTGGTTAATGCACGCCGCGGATTAGTTCGCCGCGAATGTTTGCTCGGCGTAGACAAATATTCGACTGCTGCAAACACAACGTTTAACGTTTGCGTACGTATTGACACAGCGATGTAATGGCACCAAGCTTAAACTCATTCCCCCGCCCGCCCAAACAGCGTTTTCGGTCGACGCAAAGATAGAAACTCATCACCGACAGCGTCTGTTGCGGCGGGCGCAAAGGGGCTCGGGATCGAGGCGGGAAGCAGACACTGTTGCATATTGACGCACACACAAAATTTGCTCCGATGAGCCGAACCGGTTTATTTCTAACAGATAAGCGCCGTAAGCCTCCGCTGAGGTTGCCTTTTTGTTGTCCCTCTCCCTGTGTGTGTTCCGCACTTCTGCTCTTAAATAGGAAAAAGAAGCGCCACGTGGAACGGAAAGGATGGCTGCTATTAATATAGGAGGGCAGGCCATTTTCTCGGCTCTTCCACGCAGCGTGACAGGCAGATGAAACGACCAGCTTGTTTAGAACCACGAGGGCTGTGGCTTTCCTCCCCCTCCCCCCTTGGCTACCGGTAGCATCGATTGATGGCAGCCTCGCTGTAGAACTAGATTTACTGTGTGACCAGCAGGGGTATAAACCAATTACCGCATGATCAAATGCACTTTTCCCCATCCCCACCAGCGCCTGCCCAACACACATTCAACTCACACATTGCTACGTGCTTTCCCCCGTGGCGTCCTAGCGGAGATTGCTGCGAGTATGATGATTTATTTAGGTTTGGTTACACCCGGGATGAAGCCTTGTCACACTTTTGCTTAATTTTAAATTCCTAGTTTTCTGCAATGAGCAAAGGGGGGGGGGGGGGGTGCAACGTTTTTCGGAACGTTACGGAAGGTGGAGGAGAGGGGTGGAATAATTGTCAAAAAAATGTCTAATAGTATGGGAATCCCGACAGCATTAAATATACACCGCAGTAATTACCAAGCGCTCTTGGCAAACATTGTAAATATATCAAAGCTTCAGCATGAGCGAGGAGAATTAAATGCTACGCTTGCTAGATCTGAATCTCAGCAAATGCAATAACAAAGAAGTCAAAGATATTGAGGATAAAGGCTCTTGTTTTGTAACATTGTTGTTGTTACTGACTGTAACCACCTCTTTCCGGCTCGCGTGAGTTGATTTATATTAGTGTGCGGCTAACCCCCCCCCCCCCCCACACTGACAGGGGGAAGCCTGTATTCGTGTACCTGTCAGCGTTGTCAATATTTCATTTTGTTACCCGCGCTATATTGTTTTACGATAATTCAAAAACCCACTCTGCTGAGTTTCATAAAACTTGCCTCAAAGTGTATATATCAACTGAGTCGTACGAAATATGTTATGTCTTTCCAACACCCCCCGCCGCTGCACCATAAATGCAATGAATAATTGCAATTTATTTCAAGAAGTAGACACCGAAAATGTTTATTCTTAACATGCGGAACAATGCACGTATCGTGGAGCTTACGAAATCGACACTGATCGATGAGTCGATGCATTGTGACGCCTCTAATTACGACCCCATGGACATTGGCTTAATTCCTGACGTTGAACAGCATTGATGAGGAGTATTTGAATAGGCCTGACTCTCTTCCTAAGTAGGCTCGGCCTGAAATGATCATCCTAGGAAGCAGAGAGAGAGAGAGAGGAGTATGGAAATATATAATAACAAAATTTGACAGTTGCATTTTTTTTATGCAGCTGCACTTGCTTCCCATTGCCTTCGCGTGTAACAAAAAATGCATCGAATCTACTTGTCTGACATCTTTTCTTGTAATGCGATTCGTGTAAATGCTTGATGGATGTTTATTGTAGGCATATGTATTGGTGTACCTCATCATACGGCAAGCAAGCGCAGTAGTGCTGTAACCACATTGGCACGAAGTAAACAGTCATTGAAAGTACCCTCGTTGTGGGTGGGACCATGCCAGATGCTCTTAAGAACCGCAGAGCTTTAACCGCTTCGCTCTGGAACACCCAGTAAAACCTTAATGTTATCTTTTACAATGTTTGTGTGTCCAAACCTGGCCACTTTGAGCCTGACGATTTGACATGTGGGATGGTTATGGTCAATTTTGTTTAAAATTTTTAAACCCACAGAGCAATTTTGGTTAAGGAG